TGGTGCTACATTTGTATCATTGTTACAAACCTCAGAACTTGATGGACTGGACTGAGACTAACTCTTCATGAATGGGAGACCAGCAGTCAGTCACCCAGTACACTCCAGTGTACACATCACATCAGTCCTTCATTTAGAAGAAACCTTCTGATCTCCAGATTCAGTGCCTACAGCCAGAGTATGAGCCTTGTTCTTAAACTCATTTAACTAATGCTAAAATACATACATCTCAGGAGAGAGCTCCTTAGGCACAAAGCATTTAGAGGCTGATTTGAATAAAACTTATACAGGGTGCAACAATGACAATTTGATTTTTATTATTAAAAATGAAGTGTTGAAATCCTCAAAGAAAACGGCTTTATTGCATTAGTTTAATAAAGCCTCTTTTTTATTATGGTATCTGTTTTTATGAGGGAAGACAGGATGTGCATGCGGATCTGAATGTGGATACATGAGGAAAAGGAGGCAGAGAAAGACCGACCACCTGCAGCCACAAAGTGCCACCATTTGTATGACATGTATGTCAGACCTTTATCCTGAAATATGCTGGGAAATGAGCAAAGACACACAGCTTGTGCACACTGTAGATCTATGCCTTTGATTCCTTCAGGACTCCTGTGCATCAGCTGAGCAGGCAGCAGCCACCTCCTACAAGCACTCATTCTGAAAGCCTGACTCACATGCTACTTAAGATCTTTTCATTCAGCCTATTGAATACAATTAAGTTAATTGAAACTGAAATTTTGGGCAGTGCAAAACCCACTGTTGGAACAAATATCCCATGTACCAAAAATCTGCAATTTATTAAAGTAAGCACTTCCCTTACAGACTGCCTTCTTTCCTGTGAGTACAACAGAACACTGCTTGTGCCACATTACACCCAAGAATAAAACAAGCAGGCAGCATGAAAGGGTTTCATGCTATAAGAGAGAGTTTTCTATGAGGGTAAAAACCAACAAAAACTCCCCCCAAAAACCCAAACCAGAAGCCTGGCTAATTGAAAGTCTGTGCACAATGGGGCAGACACCATAGCATTGAATGCAGCATGACTGTCTAACTAGATACCAGGCAGAGAATTAAAGCTCCTTGTGTTGCTCTCATTTGAGTTAAAGGGAAAATTATTTGCAAAAGGAGTTCTGTCCAGGATTTGGCTCACAAGCAAACAGAGGTGGAAGAGTCAGTTATTTCAACAAATCATATTTCTAATCTTAATGCCTTGTAGAGGACTCTTTTCTGAACCTACTCCTGTTTGGGGGAATTTTGCCAAATAAAGCAGAATTAAAACAAGGAGTCACAACCCAAAGCCATACTTCCTTAGCAACCACACTCCTGCTGTCAGAGCTCCCAAACCTTCTTATAGCTGACCAGTGACACCTTTGTATGCCAACATATGTGTCACTGGTCACCTATAAGAGGGTTTGGAGCACCTATAAGAAGATTTATAGCACCTATAAGAGCTATTTCCCTCTTCCTCATTGTGGAAGCCTGGACTTGCCTGCAGTTCCACCAGAAGTTGGGGCAACACCCAACATCAATCCTGTGCTCCCCTACACTTCAACCCACACCTGCAGCCAAGGAGTGACCAAATTCCTTGACCATAGAGGATCAGTGCAGCTTATTTCATCATAAACTTCACTACATCTGAAGCTGGTGGAGTTTCCTCCTCCTCAGGCTGTTACTTCCTTTAATCCAAAGAAATGTGGTTGGCACCAGCTACCCAGGCAGGAGCTCAGCTGGGTGTGTGCTGCTTCCCCATCTGCAGGCTGGGAAGCCAACACTGCCACATGGAGCTACTCAGGGCAGGAAGGAGGGAGCAGTGCCCTTTGGGAAGAAGGTTACAAGCAGCCTGGACATGATGGAGCTTTTATACAGATCTCTTTGTATCTGACTTGATTTTAAAAGCCTCAGATTCAAGAATATTTCCCGTTTCGGAGGCTGTTCAGTTAAACAAGCACTGGCCACTTGCCCAAACATTTTACTAGTTTTGGCTATCGCATCACAACATTGGCAAAAAAAAAGATGCTTGAAAAAAGAGAAAGATACAAACCAAAACACTCCTTCAGTCTGTAGGCTTTGCAGTCCACTGGGCACTCCCAAGGAGAGCAGCAGTTCACTGATCAAGTGATTTAAATTGTCTGGACTCTTTACGAAGGGCCCAGTAAACTGTCCTGACTACAGCTCCAAGAGCCTGCAGCAAAGAGGAATGCTGAGCAAACGAGGACAAGAATAATATGCTCATCTCCTTTATGCAGAACAGGATTCAAATTATCTATTTTCCAGTTTGTATTTTGAAGAGTGGGATCACTTCAGCCCCTCCAGATATGCTGAAAAGCTTTCCAGCAAAGCACAAGGTGCATTTCCACGCAGTTCCTTTAAAAGAGTCCTCTTAGTCCTACTTTTTTCTGTAACCAACATCACCTACCAATTTATCAAAACATTACAACCTGCAATAAGCAAGTTCTGATTATTACAACCTTTTGGTCGCAATCTGAATGCTATATTAGGAGACAATAAACTGCAGGATGGTACAAGGACTCTGCCCCAAAGATGGGCCAAACTCCATGTGTGTATTCTCCTCCAGGAAGAAGTTCATAGCCTTGGCCATCAGGCCCCCTCGTTTTGCCTCCCATTTCTCAGTATCTCCACTGGCCAATGCATGCTTTCAGGGGCCACCCATCACCTAGAAGTTATCCTGATGTACAGATAATGCAGGCTTCAGCCAGGTAGGCAGGTTTTGAGAACTCCAGCCTGCACTGGATCAGTACTGCACTGTACTGACAGCCTTTTGACTTCACTGCACTGTTTGAGACCAAGGAGAGACATCAGCTCCCTCCGTGCACTAAAACCTCCGCACCCTCTACAGTCCATGTACGTAGGGAATGTACAGAACTTGTCACACAGCCTGAAGTGCTTTGTTTTCATGTGTGCAGACAACATGGCCACAGGTATAAGCAAATATTGCTGTCTTCAGTTATGTATTTCCAACTCCAAGAGGAAGATTTGGATGTTTCACATACCATACAATTTCATCTCTCCATCTTCTGACCCTCCTCACGTTCTCCCTCCCACACACACATACAAGTGTCAGCCACTTGTTCCGATGGATTTAGCCTAGTTTGGATCAAAGCTTCCTCTACTTCATTTAACAAATTTGCTCAGATGGAAGGTCTCAGGGGAGAAATAATGTTAGTAAGAAGGGGCTTTTCAGCACTGAGTATGTAGGTCATTGGACTTTAAAATAAATTAGAGAATAGTTTATCTATTAAACAAGCCTCACAGTACATATTTCATGAAGCTATACTTAATTATAGGCTAATGTGCACCACAGAGCTACCATGAAGAAAGATTAAGCAGTGGCCCATAATGCAGTGATTAATGCCATTATTAGCTGGCTGGCACACAGCATCTATTATTTGGTACCATCAGGAGAAGCAGCAGACCTCCAGTTTCCAAGGCTGGCCCTTCTGTAAAATGCAACAAACCCATACCTTTCCAGAGAGAAACACACGCCTCTCCGTACCTCAGAGGCAGTAGGGGGGATGCAAGCAGGTGAGAGCAGACTTGGAAAAGACTCCAAGTGTCTTTTACAGAGTTTGTGTCTCTACCATGGATGTGTGGGAATATCCCACACCTTCTATTATGCAGTGCAATACTGGTTGCCTGAACCCCTCTTCTTAATACTCAAAACAGAAGCAGGTAATATCTTTCTTGGTGGGGAATGAGCCTTTGATTTAGTAGCAAACTTGGGCATTACCAGCCCAGGTCTCCCAGTGTAGCTAAAGGAGAGCTTCATGTTCCTTGACAGTGACAAAACCCTCACTGGCAATGTTATTGCTGACCTCTTGCTCCAGTTCAGAATATGTCATTCTGTCAATACCATCTACCTTGATTATACTAGGCTTTATATACAACAGGTTATGATCCCAGAGGGATGAAAAGCTTTTCCAAATTAAAAGCAGCATTTTAAAGAGGAAATACTCATACATTCCTATGTAGTTTTCATTTGATATCCTCAAGGCTAACCCCAGAACTCAAGTGTTTTTTTCTGAGTGCAGCCATCTTATGAATTTAATGGAAGAAGGGAAGTAATAAAATGTGCTCCATACTTTAATTAGTTCCCTCATAACATGGCATTTCCAAAATGGCAGTGCCAAAGAAAATCATTAATCTAGGAGAACAGACGAAGGCACTGTATGGGGCAAGGGACTTAGAGATATACACTCCCCCTTTTTTTCTCTGGCTGGTGAATCTTACCTCAAATAACAACTCCAGCAACACAAAAGAATTCATACCAATATTGAATATTAAGCCACTTTCCATTTCTTAAGCCTTGCTACAGAGTATCACAATTGAGAGATCACATGTTGTAACCTGCAGGATAAATGTAAATGGCCTGTCCTTTGGAGCACACACTCACCCAGGGTACTCCACCTGCCAGGCTTAAGCTGATACTATCATGCAATCACTTCAACATCGACATTTCAGTAGGTGAGTGAGAGAACCTGTCAGATGCATGAAAGCAAACAATAATCTGCTACAAAAGGCAGATCCTTTTCCCAGCATACTTTCCTTACACATTTCTTCTGGGAGCAGCCTCTGGCACTAATTGTGGCATCACAGGAAGGAATTGAGGAAGCATCAGAAGGGGTTCCAAAAACACCTCTGACTCTCTGACTCTCAGTCTCTTATTACTTCTTCCTGGCAATCAGGCAAATGTGGAAGTTTAAAACCACAGAGATGAGCTCAGGGAAGAACTCCCATGAGCAGAATGACTGCTAGAGAACAAAGCTCAGGTAATGGCACAGGAGTGGCCAAATGCAAACAAACAGCTGTTCCAGGAAGAAACAGCCTTGTTCAAAACTGACAAAGAGACTAGAGTACAAACTGAGAGTGGTTTGACCTGTTTCTATGGCATGCCCCCTGCCCTGACCTGCAACAACCATACAGCCCCACAAGAGCCACAGCTTTGCCCTTCTTGGTTATAGAACAGAAATGGATACCTGTGTGCGGTTGAATGCTACTCTTGCAAAGACAGCTTGAGACACACTGGCTCTCTTCAGCTCATCTCTGACTTGCTGGTAAATATCTGGAGAGACTTCCACCGATGAATTTGATGGCTCTGGTTTGACAGCTCTAGGGATGGGTGGATGATTCAAGAACTGCTGGTTGATAGCCTGTGGGTGCTGGTGAGCCAACAGTCGGCTGACAGCAATCTGCTGGTTTATCAGATGGGCCATGGCTATCTGCTGCCTCACCAGTTGTGGACTGAGCTGAGGAGACAGGAGCCCAGGGTTTATCATGGTTTGCATCGTTGGCACTTGGTTTCGGATTGGAGTACTGTGGTGAATTTGGCCATGAGGAGACTGTTCATTAGATTTTCCCAAAGTTGCCAGCTGGTTGATATTTGGTAAGTGCATGGGACGTTGACCAAGAACACAATAGTCTGAAAGGTTTTCTCTTTCCACTCTTTCCACTGTTAAAAGAGAAAAATTAGCTTGCTGTCATTTCAGTTTGCACTTAGGGCAAGGATTACATTGCAGGTGACTGCACACAACAGCACCTGCTTTACTTTGTAAGTCTACAATTGCAAAGAAGTATCATAGAAACATAAGCAAAAGAAACACAAAGTAAAAGCAACAAGAATAATTCACATTCTTTTGGACTTCCCAGGCTTCATCCACAGCTCATGAACACTTCTTGTAAGCCAATAGCAGGTATCTTCCCCAGCCTCCTTTCCTAAAGATAAAAAGCTTGGACACTTCCATTTACACCATTACTAACATTTGAATTTGTCACAGCAGATTGATTAACCTTTAAAAGTCACCAGTGTTTCAGAATCACTGGAAGCTAGGTAAAGGAAAGAAACTCAAACTGGTATCCACTCACACAAACCAAATGGAAACAAGGCCATTCCCTGTGCAGCTCATGGCACTGCTTCTCGTTACAAACTTGGCAACTATTATCTTTCCACATAAACTCTAGCTTGCACTGTGTGTGGATAAACCCTTCTGGTACCATCAGCTCACCCAGGTGCACCACAGCAGACTCATGCTGGTTGTGTGAAAGCATATTACAAAACAGTGGAATTCACACATGAGAAAAGTTTGAAGCTATGGTTCCTATAGCCAAAGCCTCATTGCCATGAGTTTGTCCAAAAACTTTAAAGCACTTTGCACAAATGCCCACTTGAAAGAAAGTGCCTTCACTCTCCTCAAAAAAACTTGGCGTAGCACAACAGTGATCTCTAAGTGACATCACATTACAAAAAAATTAAACAGTACACACTAAATGCATATACTCTAGTTTTACATGCTGATTGTCCCTGTTACATATTTTATGTTAGTAATATCACAGTATCTTTTCAGGTAATTGCAAAATTAAATGCACACATTACAAAATTAAATTTCCTCTAAAAGTACCCTTTGAAATAGGAAATGAAGTTTAGCAAGTGCTAAATATAACTCCTACCTAGGTAATTTTAAGCAATCAGAAGTCCTTTTACAGTAGGCTGCAGATTCCATAAGCCTTCCTATGTGCAATTGAATAGGCATTTTCATATTGATCTGATAGGTAAGTGTTTAGAAACATGTCATCATAGAAAACCACTACCTCATCCCTGTATTGGTCTCAGCAAGTAACAAGATAAGATTTATTTCAGAAAGGTCATAATACTGTTATAACTTGTGTAATGATTAACAACTGTACGAGGTTTTGAACTCTTTTTAAAAACCTAATCTATATAAAGCTTTGAAGCTTTACACAGTTAATACTCAGAATGACAGCTTACTGATGACTTGCTCTCTTTTCTTCTAAATAGAAAGACAGCTCTTTTCACCTTCCAGAGTTAATCTAAGGCTGAGAGGGTCATGCCCTGAACACATGCATACACACAGTTACTATTTTTAGAACTGTCACTCTGGAACATCACAAGTACTCAGTTTTACAACTAGGTGAACTAATACCCAGAATTTCCTTATAAGAAATTTTAACTCACTCTTCCCATTCTTTAAAAGGAAAATCCCATAACATCTTTAGCCTTCTATTAAATATTTCTTTAAAAAATTCAAAATAATTTCTAAGAAAACTATGAATTCAACTTTTCCACAAAACCTAATGTTTCAACCTGACTGAATTTCTAAGTAAGTGTTTACTTGTATTTCAGCTATGAAAGGCAATGCAAAATGTGTGATACACAAATATTATTGTCAGCAAATGACCATTTTGCTGTGTTACTCACAGGCTGTCAGATACATAATGCAGTATTTCATTTTGTTGAAAATACTGAAAATCCCTATTCAAAAGCTGCTCCTCATGATGTCAGAAGGCCTCCCTGAAATGAGGCACAGAAAGCTCTATACCACTTCAGGAACAGACACGACATCAGTGTGAAATATGCAATAGGAGTAGTGCTAATTCCGGGGATGGACCCATCATCAATACAGAGGTGCAGGCTGGGCAGTGAGGAGGGGCTGCTTTGTCACAGCCTCAGACCACGTTCTGCAACACAGATGACTCACAGCCAACACGGCCATACCATCACCTCCTCAGCCTCTCTGCACTAAGCCTGCACCTGAGTAACGTCATTAAATACTCACTGTTCTAGCCAGATGCAATTATTCCAAAGGTACAATAGCTACTTGGGAGGTGTAAGTAGAATAAAGCTGTTGCTCAGTGTAATTAAATACTTGGAGCATCCTGCTACATCACTGACAACCCTAAAAATAAAGAGTCCTTCCGCTAGGAGTTTCAGAAGAGCTGAAAAAGTTCTGAACTATTTGCAGTTTGAGGAGCACACAGAGAATAACTCGCTGAAACCAACAAATTATTACTTGTTAGAACATAAAAACAGTAACCAAGTGTTTTTGAAAACTTGGTGAGAAATAAATATAAATAACATTCACTTTCTGGGCTGAACCACATTTGCCAAGTTTCCACCCACACTTGACTTCAATGCCAAGTTATAAACCCCTATAAAAATAAAGTTTAAGATGAAAAGGCTGCCAGGCTGTTAATCTCCACAGTGCTACTTGGAATTACACAGAAACATCACCTGACTGCTTCCATAGGTATATTTTTCCCTTATTATCACTTTCCTTTTTTGATCACATTAGACTACACAGCCATGCATGTACTCCCTATAAACAAACCAGATTCTAGTCACTTCGACCACTTTAGTAATAAAAGGTTACCATTAGCAGTTACACTGGATGGAAAAAATGTGCATTACTCAACTCCTCAAGACTCTTTCCTTCTCTAACACAGTGCTCATATCTGATTCCCTGTTGTTCTTTGGTAATTATGGATTGGTTACCAGATCTCCAGGGTTGAACAGGAGCAAGACTGAGACAGCCTGGAGATGGAGGCTGGCACTGTCCTGAGACACAGGCCAGCTTGCCAGCAATGCTCTAAGAAGAAAGGGATACAGGAGCCACAAAGCTTCTTTGCCACCAGCACTCAGCCTCAGATCTTCCTGGGACAGGGCTTTTACATTTGCATCCTCTGTTTTCCATGTTCATACCCAATTACAGTCTTTCCCTTGTTTGCTATTGTTCTACTCAAACTGAGGATATGTTCAGAGCTCTTGTAGTCCTGTACTGATTGGAATATAAAGCTGTACTGATTGGACTATAAATATCTGAGGACAGAGCAGCAGGACCTTACTGGGAAGGAAGGGGTTCCATGGATATGTACTGTCTACATTCAAGTACTGCTGATAAACTACTTCTGCCAGCAATGCCTATGGTAGTTAAATAAAAGCTGGTTCAGGAGGCTGTTACCTACCTCCATCTGTGGTGTGACCACAGCAAAAGACATTGCAGTGTTTTCATTTTCTCTCTGCATCACTCACTTAGTATACAATTCTGCAGTTCTTTGCTTGAAGGGCTTATTTAAACCAAGTACAACAGCACTGTCATATTGCAGAGCCGCCCACTCTTCTGAAGCCCATCACTAGGTAGGCAGAGACTTGTGTCTGGACAACAGATACTGTGCTAAGCTCAGCAATTAGCCCTGAGAGCACTCTAGAATAGCATCTGCCCTTCATTTTATTATACCTCCCTACAACATGTCACTACCTCTACAAGAGTCAAAATCCAACATAATCCCCAGAATGGGAGCAGCAAGTTACTGTATTTGAATATTCTGTTCTCATCCTATAACGATTACCATGTGTGTCAATGTATTTCAACTCCATACTGAGTTAAAACTTCCTGGATCCAGCACAAAAGGAATTCAGTGCACCCTTCCCCTGTGTGATGCTCTTAACCTCTAGCCCAATCTTCCTTGCACAGTCAAGCAGCTGACACAGACCACAGCACAATAGCTTGGGGTGGTCTGCATGCAACTTTCCATTTAAAATAAAACCAGCTCAAAAGATTTAAAATAAGATTTATTTCTCCACCTTCCCTTCCCCTCACACTTTATTTGCACTGAGTTGTTAATAGGAACATTCTGACAAACAGCCCGTGGGGCATTTAGGGCTTATGCGTGGCACTGAATTGACTGACAGCACTGGCAACCAAATTCCTGTGCACAATAAGGGATGCAGCAGGGAGAGCAAGAGTGTAACACGTCTCCCAGCACTGCACCACAAGTGGGGACACAGAGGACCCGCCAGCGTCCATGACCCAGCGTGTCCGGAACTTTTCAGTCCCACAGGCACACAGGCACTTCGCCCCAGAGTAAGAAGAAGCTGGTAAAGAAACGTTTTGTAATAAGTTACTAGCCGGCAGAATTGCCATGCTTCAATTGTGACAGGATGTCACCACCCAGGGCTGTTCTCCAGTGCTTCAGTTTGCTTCTTTGTTTTATTTATTATTTAAAACCTGGTGATCATAAAAGCCATTCCTAGCAGTGGTCATGGCCAAGCTGGGAGAGCTCTGAACTCTGGTATACCCTGCACTAAGCTTGAGAGAGAAAAGCTCCCACAATTTCTCCTGGCTCAGAACCATCCTGCTCACTGGAGCAAGACCTGAACTTTGGAGCCACGCTTGGGGGACAAAGCACAGCACCAGCTCCACCTTGGAGAGACAAGGCTGCTGCACTACACCCAAGAGGGTGCCCTCTTGCTTCTGCTGCACAATTATGAACTACCACTTTGTAAATAACAGAACCACTCCAGAGCACACGAGGTGCTTTTAAAGTGGTAATTTCATATCGTTTTCTCTGTAATTGGGATAATTACTTATTTCTTTTAATCACAGCCCACTTAACCACTTCAGTGCACAGGGCTGATCTGAGGAGTCTCATTTTCAGTCAGCATCTAATCTTTGTATTTACCCACAGTCGTTCGCTGGCTTCAGTGCCTGATCTCTGCCTAGGCCACTTGTTCCTGCACTCAGAACTGGAGGAAACGCAGGTTGACAGAGAGGCAGATGTGACAAGAAGCTGTGACTTTTAAAACCTTTCTCCCTACTCCTGCAGGACAGCAGAGAACCTCAAAATAGAGCACATACAGAAATTGTTTGGCCGCTG